AATGATAGGGTCGTCATGCGGCCCCCCTTACCCCTCCTAGATCTTCTGCAGTGATGACAATCTCAGGAAATGAACATTTGGAGGGTCGTTCTTGGTGAACGGAATTTACATCTAACCGCCTGATATTGTCTTTGTTGCCCCTAATAGTGGGGCCGCCTCCTGAGAAGCCGCCTGCAATGGTGTAGACGACTGCATCATCTGTATCGGAGCTGTCGGCCTTTTGATTCTTTTTGGCCGACTGCTTTTTTGAGGAAGTGTTCCCCGTAGATTTTATTGGTGTGATGACCAAAATCTTCATGATAAGCACATAATTTATCTTGGTTCCGGTTGTTTGCAGAACCCTTCATGGGGACCGGCTTCTCAATTGAGATCCGTCCCTTGATTTCCTTTAGGATAAACTGGCTATCCTTATTAAATGCATACTTTGGGGAGTATGGTTTGAATTCTTTTTTCTTTTTCTGGGCTGGCTGTTTAGAGGAATCAGCCGCCCAAACCTCTTTTCTCTTCTCGTCTTTGTTTGACGACTGTTTCTGTCGTCCTTCTCTTTTGTCGGACCTTTTCCCGTCTGACTGTTTTACCGTACTACAAAGATCAGTCGCCTGTATATAGGCTTCCGCTTCAATCAAGGCCTCTTGAAGAGTCACCACCCTCGTTCGGACAAAATCAAATTTGAAGGTCGACCCATCTTTGAGACCTCTGAAAAAGTCAGTATAGGCTACTTCATACGGTAACCCTTGAATCTGTATTCTCATCAGGTTAAACCGCCTGATGTAAGAACGAAGCCCCTCCTTCTCGCCATGCTGAATTGTTCCTAAATCAAGGGTCGTCTTCTTCGCAGGGATGTTCATGGCGAAGTTGGAGGTGAATAAGTAAGCAAGCGTCTTGAAGTTATTTACACAACCAGTCGGCAGGTTGTCGAACCATTGTTGTGCGATTCCTTTGAGAGTCGCTGGGAAACACTTGCACCAAGTGGGATCATCCAACCCTTGAAGGTACATCAGGTTGGTGAATGCCATCAGATGGTCTTCTAGGTTAGTAGTGCCGTCATAGGCGCCTACTAATACATTTTTCACTTTGGCCGGCTGAGCGGCTTCAGTAATTTCCTTGGAGAAGGCCGACGGCTGTTCACCAAGTCTAAGCAACCGTAGCTGCCAGTCCATAGGTTGGACATTTTTTGCCGCGTGTCCACCAAACGGAGGCGGCTGTAAAAAATATTGTTGTTGCGGTACAAACGGTAAGTTTGGTACCGCCTGGTCGCTATGAAAGCCGGACTGTCGGGAGGTGCCGCCTGACTGACTCTCATGATACGACTGAGTATGCCTCATCGAGGTATTTCGCAGACTGTCTTGGATGTTTGAAGTAGAGGCTGACTCTGACAATCGTCTACTCTTCTTCTGCTCTAGCAGTAGCCGAGCGTTTGTGTATGTTTTCCTCGACCCGTCCGCCTGAATATGACGAACAGGTTTCCTATTTCCTGGAGTAGGGAAACGGTATTTTGTGAAATCAAGGGCAGGTGGCTCCCACTTCCTAGATTTAGGATGAGGGGTCGCCTCTCGCCCTTGAACTGGTTTCCTCTTCAGTGAAGTGGAGGGTTTCTTAGCCGACTGCTCCTTGTCCAGAGCAGGCGGCTTCTTGTTGATCAACTCTTGAATTTCTCCCTTGAAGTCCCTCATGAAGGTCATGAGTTCGTTCCTTGTGATGGGAGCAGACCCATCAGTCGGCTGCTGCCGAACAGGCGGTGCGCCTGCTGGCTCACTTCCAGTTTGAAGATGTTCCCGTTCCCTCCTTTCGGTATGACGGGTACGTCAGGCCCTTAGGGTCCCGTCTGAAGCTGTGTGAGCTTCAACTTCAAATTCATTCTCAGTATCGTGGTCCGACTGAACTTGAGGGTTGTCTAGGGGACGCCTCTCTTCAGGAGTCGGTACAGACGTGGATGCCATCTCAGAAGTACTCTCCCCATAGACGGCGCCAAATGTTTCGGGGTTTTCTGATGTCCTGCGGGAGAGTTACAATTCCGAGACTGGAACTGGACGCCTGTACCTGCAAAACAAACGGATGCTCCGGATGATTGGAGATCCGCCTCCGACGGTCAAGTTAGTACTTGATTAAGGAGTAATTAATGCGGAAATTAAAGTGATTGGGTCTCTCTAGGTGAGAGTGTTTAATGTGTATAATCTGCTTTTTTGCATGTAATCTCCCTTAATGAGGATTAAGGGAGGTATTTATAACCTCGGGAAACGTGTCAATCTAGGTTTAGGTTAACCTTGGGCTGATTGGGCTTCCCTCGGGAGTTGGGCCTAGGTGACCGGTTATCCCAGGTGTCATGGGAAGGACACGTGTCGTGTCGTAATTGGTCCATGGTGGACGGATCATTGCTTGACACGTGGCAGGCTCCTATTGGCCCATGTGACGGACACATGGCGGAACCTGATTGGTCCACTTGTCAGATGGTGATTAGTGGTGGAAAAATCCCCTAATCACCTCTTCCAATTTTTGACTGATTTTTTTTCGTGATTTTCTGGGAATAGGTACTGTGAATTTCTGGAGTTGAATGTGAGATGATGGGGAAAATAGAGATCTGGGGGAAATTGAGAAAATGGAGAAATTGGTTGAGAAATCTACTGTTGAGTCTGTGAGAATGAGTGGAGAACGAAAATTGGTGAGAAAATTGGGTGAGAAGATTGGGTGAGAAAATTGGGGTAAACATACATCATGTTTGTTTGTTCAAAATTTTGGTGAAAAAATTAGAGGGAACAATGCGCGCTTTATCTAAGCTAAAATTTTCATTTGATATAATACCACTGTTGCAATAGCTTTTATTTTTGTTAAAATAGCTAGGCTATTGCAACGGTTCTTTAGAGCCGTGGCAATAGCTCTACCTCTAAGAGCATTAGTTTAAACTCCGTGGCAATAGCCTACTCTATTGCAACGGAAATAAAAATACCGTTGCAATAGGCTATCTATTGCCACGACATTTGGATAGGGCGTTGCAATAGCTCATTTTGGGGCGTTGTATTTGATCGAAAATGTAGTAGTGTTGCCATGTGGAGGACATGGGGGAGTTGATAAGACGGTGAAAAAGATTTCTCAATTTCTCCTATGGTGGCCGACAATGCATAAGGATGCTCAAAAGTTTTTTTCGAGATGCGACAAGTGTCAAAGTAGTGGTGGCATAACCAAAAGAGATGGAATCCTCAACAAACATTTTGTAGGTTGAGCCTTTTAATGTTTGGGGTGTCGACTTTATGAGGCCTTTTGTCTCTTCATGTGGGAATTTATACATCTTGGTAGCGGTGGACTATGTGACTAAGTGGATTGAAGCTATACCCTCCCCTACCAATGATCATAAGGTTATGCTTAAGCTTCTCAAGAAAATCATATTTCCACGGTTTTGGGTTCCTAGGGTGCTAATTAGTGATGGAGGTTCTCATTTTGCCAAGAAGTAATTCGAGGCTCTTCTCAAGAGATATGGAGTTCATCACAAAGTTGGTCTACCTTATCATCCTCAAACTCAAGGACAAGTGGAGGTGTCTAATAGAGAGATCAAGAACCTTCTCAAAAGGATGGTGACCAAGTCTAGGAAAGATTGGTCCCTCAAGCTTGACGACACACTTTGGGCCTTGCGGACAGCGTACAAGACTCCAATTGGTACAAACCCCTATCGGTTGGTCTATGGGAAGGCTTGTCATTTTCCGGTTGAGTTGGAGTATAAAGATTGGTGGGAAATCAAGGAGCTTAACATGGATATGTCGTTGGTCGTTGAGAAGAGATTGCTTAAGCTCAATGCACTTGAGGAGCTTCGATATGATGCCTACGAGAACTCGAAGCTATAAAAGGAGAAAACCAAGAAATGGCACGACCGACATATAAGGAACAAGAGCTTCAAGGTTGGGGACAAGGTTTTGTTGTTCAACTCTATGCTTCATTATGGGTCTTCCTCCTTATGGGTCTTTTGAGTTAGAGGCGGGTGACAACATGTTCATGGTTAATGGTCATCGTTTGAAGCACTAACTTTGCAAGGAAGAAGTTAGCTTGATTGAATGTATGAGGCTTGATCCGATGGATCTTGAGCCACCCTTTAGATGATAATTTCTCATGGTCAAGCTAGTGACCTCGTAAATAAGCGCTTCTCGGGAGGTAACCCGAGTTCTCAACTCTTTATTCCCTTTATTTCTTCTATTTGGTCGTTAGTTTTTGATTGATTTCTTTTAAGTGTTTGTGTCTTATGGTCTTTGGTTGTCATTTTGTAGGTACTTGAATTTTTAGGAAACACTTTTGTGGATTAAGGTTTGAGGATGTTTTCACCTCAAGGTAGTCCTTTTGAAGAGTCAAGATGGAGTTATGGAAGAAGAAAAGGTCAAATTTTATGTTTCAAGAGCTATAAGGGAAAGCGCACCAAGGGAAAGCCTTCTCCAAAGGCCCGCGGGCGCGGACAGGAAGAGGAAGCCCCCCCAAAAACATTCTGGAGATGCCTCGCCGCACTCTAGGAGCGGCGCGACACATAAACCAACGGGCGCGGGCAGGTTCACCCGCGGGCACGGCAGTTAAGCCCGCGGGCGCGACCCTGTGGGTCTACGTTTTTCTCGTAGATTTTGACAGCATTTTTCTCACTCTCTTTTATTTTTCCAATTCGAAATATCCCTCTTCATTCTCTCTCTAGCTTCATCCTTTCTAACCATAACCTTCTAACATCTCAAATTTATCAATTTTCATCACAAATTGATCATAAATCATCAAATTTCTTCATTTTCCTTCGGTTAGGGCTGGCAAACAGATCAGATCGGGTGGGGTTCGTGTTCGGGTCATTTTGGTTTCGGGTTGAAAACCTTCGACCTGAACCTGACCTGTTTAATATTTCGGGTCATAAAGCTAACCCGAACCTGATTTTTTCGGGTTGAACCCGAATCTAACCTGAATTCACCTGATTTTTTTATATATAAACTTATTTATTTATTAATTTTTTTGGCAGATTTGGCATTTTTAATTCGTATTAGAATCAATTTATTATGGTAAATTCACAGATGTATAAATTCACAAATTACATACGTATAATTTACATAGATTAATTCAAAGCTAAAAATAAATAAATAATTTACATAAATTTTTCTTATGTAGAGAACTTTTGAATTTGTGAGCTTCCACTTGAAGTTGCTTCAGATCTGACCCAAATTTTGCACATGCATCAACCTATTATCGTTGGATCTAATTGGCTTCTTCCGCAAAGTACCTTCAAATCACAAATTAAAAATAACTATCAAAAAAATTTTGACAGAACTGTAAATGAAATTATATAAAAAATTATATGAACATGTATAATTTATATCAACAAATCAACAACAATAAAAATTAACAACAGAAATTTAAGTTAAGCATATTAATAACATTAACAAAAAAATTCTAAAACAAAACCGTATTTAAAAAAAAAAAAATAAAAAAAAAAATAAAAAAACGTATAAAAGAAAATTCGAAATCAGCAAATTAGAGAACTTCTGAATTTGTGAGCTTCTATTGGAAGTAGCTTAAGATCTAACCCAAATTTCGCACATGCATCAAGCTATTACCGTTGGATCTAATTGGCTTCTTCCACAAAGTACCTTCAAATCACAAATTAAACATAACTATCAAAGAAAAATTTGACAAAACTGTATCAAAAAATTATATAAAAAATTGTATAAACATGTATAATTTATATCAACAAATCAACAACAATAAAAATTAACAACAGAAATTTAAGCATATTAACAACATACACAACAAAATTCTATAACAAAACCGTATTTTAAAAAGAAAAAAAAAATAAAAACGTATAAAAGAAAATTCGAAATCAGCAAATTACCTTGGTTGAACGTTTAAAACGTGAAGGAGATCAAGAAATTCGAACATAGAGAGCGACTCACAAAGGATTTTAAGGTTTGAAATTTGAGAACTGAAAATTGAAATATAGGAGAGAAAGAGCGGCTGAGATCTTGAGAATGTGTGAGGAATTGAAAGCCATTTGGGATTTTAGGGTTTTCCGTTTTATATACTTCGTATTATAAGAACCTAATTGGGTTGGGCCGAATTATATACATAAATAAATAGTTTTGTTTTTTTTCTAATCTAACTAATACATGTTCAGGTTATCAGGTCGGGTTTAGGTTAACCCGACCTGATTTTGACCCAAAACCTAAACCCGACCTGATTTTGACCCAAAACCTAAACCCGACCTGATTTTGACCCAAAAATAATTTCGGGTTAAGTGGGTCATTTTCGGGTTGGAATTTTCAACCTTAACCTAACCCATTTAATTTCGGGTCGGGTTCGTTTGTCGAAAATCTCAACCCTAACCTGCTATTTTCAATTCGGGTTCGGGTCAGGTTTTCGGGTTGGGTCAGTTTTTGCTAGCCCTACCTTCGGTTTCCTCATCAAAAATCCAAAATTTTTACCATTCAAGGCTTGCTACGGGGCATTTTCTCGCGGATTTCTTTTGGGGCTCCATTGTTGATTACTTGAAGGTAGCTCAAATTTCTTCTTCAAAAGGACAAGTGGAGATGAGCATGATCATTCTATATTGGTATATTTCACTTTTTCTTTAGTTTCAATTAAAATTTGGTGTAATTTCTTGATGAGAAAAATTGTTGTTCTTGTGATGCTTTTTGGGAAATTTTGATGATTGAATGCCGATTCATGTTGTATTGTCTTCATAGCTTGGTTATTTGTTGATTATTTGTTGTCATTGTTGATTGTTGGAGAATATTATTGGTTGTTTGGTGTTGTTGAGTGAAGTTCAAGGTGTGGTATTTGTGAAAGCTTGAATTGGATGGATTATTCTTGTTGTTTAAGTTCTGTTTGATTGAGCTTGATTTTTGCCAAAATGGTGTTTGGACCAAAGAAGAGAAAGAGTGGGAAGGAACCCCAAAGTCCTACCTCTAAAATCCCCAAAACGAAGAACAACCACCACCACCTTTTCCACCTCTCAAATTTCACAATAAAAGTCACAAAACCATCTGCGACAACTTGCAAAATCGCAAGTTTTGACCCACCAAAAATTACCACCAACCAACTACTACCAAGCTTGGCATCGATGACGATTGTTGGTTCCTATTCAACAATCTAAGGCTAGCCTCTTTTGTGTCAAGTGCTTACCGAACATACAAAGAGCCCACTCTCGATTTTGTAGTCTCTTTAAAATGCCACGCCGCAGGAGAAAGGGACCTCTCCATCTCCTTCCAACTCTTCAATGAAAAAGAAACCATAAACCTTCGCCAATTTAACCAACTCCTCGACCTCAACCCTGATGCTGACATGTTCTTCCCAGCGCACGAGTCCCTTCATGATTTTAACCCCCTTGAGTGGTGGAAATGCATCTTGAGGATAGATGCCTTCAATGTCAAATATTCATTGGCCAGTCAAATCATGCACCCCGCTATCAGACTTCTTAACCAAATACTTTGGTACATGGTTTTCAATAAGCAAGACTTAGGAAACATCACCGCCGAAGAGATCTAAATTTTGTGGCTACCTACAAAGCCGGAATTGGGGCGAATAGTGAATTTTGGTTTTCTATTCACCAAGTGCATTGAAGGAATTCTCTCGGGGACAAAGAAGGGGGAAATTCATTATAGAGGGATGGTCACGAGGTTGGTCGAAAGGTTGCGTCATATGGACAAGATGCGTTCTTGCACCCCCATTGGAAGGAGTGATGGAAGTGATATTTGGTTAGACCTTGACCAATTGAAGACGATGAAATTTATTGGGAAAGCGGAGGATAGAGGAAGGACTTGGAGCTTGCTTGTCTCCATTGAGCATCATTACCTCCTCCTCAAACCAGAGTTCACTTCTTTTATAAGGAGGGAATTAATCACCTGTGGTTGGTGAGAAAGGATTCAGGTGTCCTCCTGGTTGCGAGAATGGAAGTTGGCGAGGGTAATGAGGATGATGATGGTAATGAGGTGGATGATAATGAGGTGGAAGAGTTCCCTCCATTTCAGCAGCAACAACAGCAGCAACAACAACAACAAATCAACATGGAAGACAAAGACAACAACAACAACAATAAAAATGAAATCAACAACAATTTGACTACCATCAAGATGTGGCGGCGATGCGGGCCCAAATGGAGAGCATGCAACTCGGCATGCTATGTATGATGGCCTCCCAACAACACCATTTTTTCCAAACCAATGCCCTATATGATGCTAGCGTACGTAGAGGGGATGTCACTCCCCCGGTTAACTACCCTTATGTGCCGCCCTAACAAGGGCCCGTGCCATCTTGGGGGGGTGACAACCAACCTACGTACCCTTACTGGCAGAGTCCCTTGGACCCCAATGTGCCAAGGCTTGACTTTCTCGATGAGTCCGGTCATTATGACTACCGGGTTTTGGGTGGGAGTGATTACCGGGGTGACCCTAACTCATCCTTCGTTGATCCCTCTTACCCCTCGCCTCTAGCTCAACCCGAGCCATTTGACCAGTTATCCGCATCCTAACTAGACCTTTTCAAGGGTCATTATGGGTGGCCTCCCGGTTACACCGAAGGTTGGGATCCCCATGGCCCCCCCGGGCTTTTCATACAATAGTTGGAATGCGGATGACGGTGGTGCCGGCTCTAGTGGCTAATAGTCTCTCCCTTTGGTCTGTTTGTTTCTCCCTCCTTTTTTGGTCCCGCTTTTTCGTTCCATTTGCATGTGAAGCATCGGGGACGATGCTCTTATCTAGTCTTGGGGGGTGTTTGAGTCAAAAGGGAGTGTTTTTGGGTAAGTGTGGGGGAAGGCACCAAGGACTCATGGAAATGATGAGGGGAATTTGGGTTTGGGTCTTGTTGTTGGGTGTTGTTGATAAGCTTTTTGGTAGCATTGTTTTCGCTTGTTGTTGGTAAATGATGTCTTGATGATGATGATTCGAGAATAAGTTGGGTTTGGGTAGTTGGTTATGCCTAAGAATTTGAGTTGATAGATCTTTCTCTCTTTTTTCTTTCTAACTTTTTTTCTTTGTATAGTGTTTGCTTTGCCTCTATCTCTCTCTTTTGTAGCTTTAAAGAAAATTGGAAGCAACTTTTGGAGCCATGTAAATCGTAAGGTTGCTTTGTTATTATTCAAGAGACAAATGGGTGAGATCCTTCCTTTACTCTCTCCTTTCTTTATTTTGCCGTGATTAGTTTTGGACTAGTATAGGAAGAAGTTGAATGGTTCGAGGTTGTTTGCATTTGGTTCTAAGTGGGATCGTTGGTGTTGATAGCGAACAACCATTGTATGTCGATTGGGATCGATTTGGATTTATATGCCTCATTTGCGAACCTTTATGATTTCTTCCTCCTTCTCTTGTTTAGTTTTCATTTTTGTGTGACAAACATAATTATGGCAAGATGATATGAATGTGTTTTGGAATTTACCTGTACATTTGGACTCTATTTCCTTACTGATGGGCCTTAGAATGCTTGTTTCTTCTTACCTTTATGATGAGATGCACGGTTTGAGATTGCCTTTAGTTGAATTAGAAGAATCTTAGCTAAGGTAGCAAGGCTAAGAACTTGTGAGGACTTTTGAACCCTTATTTCATGGGAAGTGGTAAGATGGAGTTGCTCCTTGTAGTGGATTTGAAACCCTTTAGTTGGCATTTGCTTACCTTTTTCATCCCTTGTGAGGTTTATTTTTTTCAAGCCTTCATCAATTTGTTGTGCGGCATTTTAGGATCCTCTGCTAAGCGTGTCTTAATACTTGTGTTGATTTCTAGCTCCCGAGATCGTGACCTAGAACTTTTAGGGGAGGAAAAGGGCACCTTTTCTCATTTTCATTTATATTTTCTTTTGTTTAATTATAAATTTTATTTTCTATTTTGCATTAACCTACTTGCTAGCCAATTTGAGCCTAATATTTCCCATTCTTGACATAACCACATTACAAGCCTAACGACCTATGTTTTCCCAACCCTTTTAGTTAGTGAAGAATTTGGTATGTGAGGATAATGTAGTGAGCATAGTGAATATGAGCAAGAATTATGTTGAGAATTGGTTTTAAGCGAAGAGTTGAAAGTTGAGCTTAAATATGAACATGCAAGATAAGTTTGAGAAGAAAGATGCAATGTAAGAGGATCAAATGAATTTTCAATAAAAATAAAAAAAAATAAAAAAAATAAAAAAAAATAAAAACTATGAAGTCCCTTCCCCTTGAATAAGGGTGGTAATGTAATGAAAACTAAATGATGGTTGTTTGTTTGAGTTATGGTCGTTTCTTGAGTTTTGTTTATGAGAGTTGGTCATTCTTTTACTTCACTTAGGATTTGCCACCACTATTTCAAATGATATCCCTACCATTACCTTTAGCCAAGTCATTACAACCCTAGTAAAGACCCTTAGACTTTAGAGGGGTGTGGTCAACAACCGGTGGAGGGAGATGGTTTTCAACCCTATGGAGAGAGCGTGCATAGTTGAGATGTCGGGATGACTTTATATCTCCTCAAAAAGAATCTTTTTCCGGTTCCTTCGCGGAATCATGAGGAGCCAACTAGTGGGATGATTTAAAGCTAGTAGGGAGAACGCGGACTGGTTTAGAGGGGACTAGGGGGGAGAATGAATCATTAGCTCTCTATGCTTGGCTTAGGCTTGACTATTGCAACCATTGGCATCTTTGGGAGTGTTTACATCATGTAATTGAGAAAGACTAGTATTCTTTGGTGCTTGTTTACCCTTTCGAGTCTGAATAGAGCACATGTCCACCCTAAAGCTTGATTTACTTTTCTAAGCCTTGCCATGTTGTGTTTGTCTTTGTAGTGTTCACTTTGTCATTCTTTTCTTAATTTTTCGTGAGGGACAAGCAAGAGGCAAGTGTGGGGGATTTTTATAAGTGACGTTTATGCCACCATTTCACCCTTTTTCACTAGTGAATTCCCCTTATTTGTCACTTGTTTTTACCTATTCTTACCGTTTTTACCTTTATTCTTGTTACTTTCGCTCTTTCTCGTGTTTTTCCTATTCTTTTGCATTTTACCCTTTATTTGTTCGCTTTGATAGCTCCTAGGACTCGTGAGCGGAATTGGAATCTCTAAGCGGAGTCAAAGTTGCTAGAGTTGCTTGTTCCAAGGAAAGAAGATGCAAAAGGGGAGAGGGTGCCT